TCACATTATATAGATTATTATGATATATATATATATATATATATATTGTATATGAAATCAATAGATGCGTAGCTTAATTAATCTCTAGAACCAGTATATAAAATTAGAATGTTATCAAGGATCACTGAAAATCATCATAATTTTATTTTATGTAAAATTTTTAAAATATATATAATTAATATTGAAACTTAGGTTTTTCATTACTTATTTATTTTCTGTATAATAATAATTAAATATTCATGTCTCTCTCTGATTTCATTATTTAAAGAATTAGAGTTTTCTATATAAAAGTATACACCTAGATTATAATATTAAATTAATAAATTTTTAGATACCTATTAAATGGTTCATATTTAATTCAATGACTCACTCGATATATAATTAATTAAGATAAAATATAAATCTATTTAAATTACATAATTTTATTAAATTTTATTATTTTTTCATTTGGCTCATTTTTATAAACCAAAAAATAATTAACCGTAGCCCGCATTTCCAACAGTTTCATTTTCTACCAAGTCAGAATTTTTATTTGCTTGGGGCACGAAGTAGAACTGTAGAACCGTGAAAAATGTTTGAATAATTAATTGGGTTGAAGTCCTGGTACAGGTTCTATCTTATACACTGGCAACTGGGGCTGCTGCAGGATTTGCTGCTACCAGTGATCTGCGGCCCGGATCTGAGGGAGTTATTTCTCACTTTTTCAATAGGGGATATGCGGCCTCCGCCTTGGTCCTCCTTGGGTTCGTTTGCGCCGCATTCTTATCCATTTTCTCCTCTCGTGCTCTTCCAAAGAAGGTCTAAGATTCATCACCTGCAGTCCAAGGCTTCAACAATGTCAATTAAGAATTTTTTTACTTTGATTATATATGGGTCCATTGCTTTCCTGTTTCATTTCTTTGTAAAATGAAATACTTCATTTCCCATCGGATTAAGAAGAACCAATAATCATGGAACTCGAAAGTATGATTTTATTAGGATTTCCTAATAGTTTGTAGGCATACTCTTGATTCTTGAAGTCGTATTTGCTTCTTTCACACTTTCAGTTTCAGACATTCCCATGTCAAGTATTCAAGACTGTAATTTGGACACTCTTTAGGCCTAATATCAATGGAAATGAATATGAATGTTAGTCTTGATATTAATATTTGAATATTTTTTGGGTGAACGAAAAGTTTAGAGGAGGAGAGGCTTATATTACCAGCCTTTACTGGAGATTTAATACTTACAGTTACAAATTGCCTGTATCTATAAATAAGGGATTGCTAGCAGCAAGACTTTATTTTTGCTAAATACTAGCAACAAGACTCGAACATGGATGAAACACCTCAAGGTCAACAACCTGATTGTGGGGTTCATCTTCTGCAATGCTTGTTGGGTGGATTGCAAGAAGAGTATTTTTTTTAACCGACAATTTTATATACAATGATAATATGTTTTAAATAAACAGATATATAATATTATAAATAAAATTTTAAATTAAAAAAATTAATTATGTAATAATATATCATATTTGTAAGATTATAACATTAGACGTTTGTTCAGCGGGTTCATCCACCTTGTCGGGTTTTTTTTTTTCTTTTTCTCTCTGAAAATACTTGACTGGTTCTGATTGGTTCAATTACTTTTGTAATGCTAACCTGAACACTTCTATGACCGTCACCGGTCTTATTGGTTAGACCGGTTAGTCTAATGTGATCCGATTTGATTTTGAAAATCCAATTTGATTTTGAAATTCATGTTCACAGCCCTCTCGCCAATTTTTTATTGTTTTATTTTTTTTCTGAATTTATGGCATTGGGCGCTTAAATATATAGTATTACTTGATTTTTACAGAACCTTAAGAGGAAAATGTAAAAGTCTGAAGCTTTTACCAACATCCATCAAATCAAAACCAGGGATCATTTTTTGTCAATAAAAATAACGGAATAAAGGAGGAAAGAAAATTGAAAGGCTAAAACTTTAACCGGTTTCCATCACATCATAACCAAACTCTTTTGTTTGGTCAGTAGTATTAATCGAAATAAATTGAGTCAGATGTTTTTAATGATTTAAATATTTATGTGATTTTTTTTATATTGGTTCACTCAGTATGATTGACCGAATTATTTTTCAGTCAAGCATACTAACCGAACGTAACATAGGGGACAACTCCCACCACCTTAATTCGATTGAAATACTTAACCGAAATAAATTTTGATCGAATTAATCATCAAACATGATATAAAACGATCTCGGTCAATGAATATGTCCAAAATACGTCTTTTTTCAGTCAAGATTTTTACTTGACCAAAATATTATGTTCGAAAAGAGGATTTTTTCTATTAGTGGTAAGTGTTCATCTAGTAATTAAGGTGATAATTTTAATCTTTAAATCAATTAAGGTGATAATTTAAATTCTTTGCCTTCAAATATTTTTCCACAGTATGAAATTTGAAACACTAAAAAATAAAATAACGAACATTTTAATTTTATCAAATTTAATTTCCTTGAACATACTTAACGACCTAGAGAATGTATCATTAAAATTATTTTTAAAATTTTAATTTTAAAATATATAAAAATTAATTTAAAAACTCTTTAATAGTAATATATATTAAAAAAATCAAATTTATTCAAATATAACAAGCTAATATTCAAGCCTACTTGCTGTTTTGAAGTTTCCACGATATTCAGGACGACTACAATTTACTACAATATAATTGACTAACTTGTGGACCACGTTCATTAAAAAACCTTTTGGACCACGTTCAATTAAAAAAACTTTGTGGGCTCCGGCTCCGTCTTATGACAAAATAGGTATTATTAATAATTTAATGGAATTGACATTTATTAATTTAAATTTTTATCATATTATAATAAGACTATAATTTAGTGGAGTACCTTGTGGACTACACTTTGTTAAAAAAACTTGTGAATAACGCTTTATAATCAAGCAGATTTTAGTAATAATTTAGTTGAATTAATATTTATTAATTAAAATTTTTTTAATTTAAAATTAAAATTGAAAATTTATATATCTATGTCGTTTAATAACTAACTTACAATACATTTAAAA